AGCTCAAGGACCCGAGTTCGATCCCCAGTATCAAAAAAAAAAAAAAAGAAGAAGAAGAAGAAAGGGAGGCTCAAAGAAGCTAAGTAGCTTAGTCAAAGTCTCCTAGCTTAGAAGTGTAGTCAGGCTTTATGTGTGTATCTAATATCAAATTCCTTGTTTTGAATTGCTAAATTGTGAAATTTTATTGTTTGCTAAGAATGTTCTTTGAGACTTAAAATATAAAATAGTTTAGGAGGAGGTAAAATAGAAGCTCCAGAATTCTGAAAATTAGAGGATTTTTACTTTTTAAACTGTATAAGAATTTAAACAAGTAATTGCTGTTTCTTTGTATTAATCTCAGCCAGGAGCTTTTCTCTCCTCTTCTACTGTTTAGCGTTTAGTTCCTATCACTTCTACTGTTTAGTATTTAGTTCCTATAGTGTCACTATTTTCTGAAGCTTTCAGCTATTTCACCAGTCCCTGGCCAGAATTAACAGTTATGATATCCTTGCTCACAAGGTTTTTTGTAGTTGCTGGCAGTTCACAATTTTATTTCTTCATGTTAAAGTGATTTGATCTTATCTTTTCTTTTTTCTTTTCTTTTCATTTCTTTTCTTTTCTTTTCTTTTCTTTTCTTTTCTTTTTTTAAAGACAGGGTCTTAGTATGTTGTCCAGACTAGAGCTGAATGCACTATGTAGCCCAGGCTGGCCTTGACTTCAAGATCCTCCTGCCACACCCTCTTAATTTCTGGGTCTACAAGTATATGCCACTATACCAGCTGATCTTGTGTTTGTTGTTGTTAAATTAAATTTTTTAAAGTACCTGTTTTCTTAGCTAATTCATATTCAATGCAAATTATCCTTTTAAAAATGTACAATTTAATTATTTTTAGTATTTTCAGGCTTTTATACAACCATCACCACAATCATTCCAAAAATTTTCATCACCCCTAAAAGAAACCCTCTACCTATTAGCAGTAATTCTGAATTTTTCCCCATCCCCTATCTCTATGCCTTAGATGGCCAATAATCTTTTTGTCTCTACAAATTTCCTTTTTCTGGACATTTCATATAAATAATATTGTACAATATGTGTTCTCCTATGACTAACTTCTTTCACTAAGCATAATGTTATCAAAGTTCATCCAATTTGTAGTATGTGGCATTGCTTCATTACTTCTCATAGCTGTGTAATATCCCCTTTGTGGATAAGCCTAGTTGAGTTATCCATTCTCTACTGTTGAGCACTTGAGTGGTTTCCTCATTTAGGTAATACAGCTGTGGAATTCATGTACAAATTTTTGTGTGAATATTTGTTCAGTTCTTTTGAATTGTATACCAGAAAGTAGAATTGCTGACTCATAAATGACTCTAGCTTTTGAAGAACTACCTTTCTGAAGCAACTGTACTATTTTAAACTTGTCAGTGTATGAGAGCACTGTTTTCCCCATCTCCTCACTAGCTCCTATTATTTGCCTCTCATTTGATTTTTGCTGTCCTAATGAGTGTGAGGTTGGTGTCTCATTTCATTGTAGTTTTTTTCCTTTTTCCATACCGGGGATTGAACTCAGGACCTTGTGCTTGCAAGGCAGGCCCAGTGCTACTGAGCTAAATCCCTGGCCCCACTGAGCTAAATCCTGGCCCTTTTTCATTGTAGTTTTGATTTGCATTTTCTTTTTTTTTTTTTTTGGTATGGGTGATCAAACTCAGCAGGACTTTGTGCTTGCAAGGCAGGCAGCAGCACCACTGAGCTAAATCCCAGCCCCTGATTTGCATTTTCTTGATGTCTCATTAAATTTCACATTGCTCTAGGTTAAAAATAGCCTTGATCTTCTTATCTCTTAAACACCCACGGTAATTTCCATATGTTAATTTATAATAAATATTTGAATTTATGACCCTGTTTAAAAATGTCAAGAAAGGGAGTTGGGCTTTAACATTTTTAAACCTCTATTGATGGTGTACTCTGCGTATATCACTAGCATTTTACTCTTACCTTTACTCTCATCCTTTTATTTTATGGTATCACAGTTGCATATTGTGATCTATTTTTCTCCTCCCCCTCCCCCTCCCCCTCCCCCTCCTCCACCTCCTCCTTCTCCTCGTCTCACTATGTAGTCCAAGCTGGCCTTGAGTTCATGATCCTCCTGCCTCAGCCTTCCCAGTGCTGGGATTATAGGCATGCACCAACATGCCTGGCTTGTAATCCATTTCTTGATCTCTCACCGCTAAGCCTCATATACCAAATGACTTGATGAGGTTGATTAAATTAATGAATGGAATTTTGTACATGTTCATTCTGTATTGTCAAGGTCGTCCCTGTGGATATATGAGTGCTCTGCTTCTCGTAATGCTACTACTCAGAGATATACTACTCCTCAGACTATACTACTACTCAGATATAATAACCTACTCAGAGATATAATACAGTTTACCTACCTTGTTTTTCCATATTGTCTGAATTGTTAGCCTGTGTTTTGGGTTTCCTGTATAGGCAACCCCAGATTTGTACTTATGCCTTACCTGAGGAATTTTATGAAATAGTCTGGTAAATCAAGAGAGTTCTTCAGTGTTTAGAATTTCCATTATAAGGCACGCTTAGATGTCTTTAAAATGGTAAAGAACATAAATGAGTTTTAAGGTTTTAGAAAAAAATGTTAAAACTTGTCCTTTCAGATTTTTAAATGAACTATATTCAGCTTTAGCACTATGCAAAAAAATACTAGCTGATAAGCATATATGTTTCTAATGTATTCTGCTAGGAAAACAGAAAGGTTCAATAATATTTAAAGAACTTTATTTTCTTAACATTAACTTAACCTTGTGAACAAAACAGTTATTTTTTTTAGCAAAGCTTCATGTAACCAAAACAGAGGCCTTTTTCTAGTTTAGTTTACTATTAAAACATTTATCCCAGTTAAAATGGAACACAATAAAGATTTGTTTTGAGCAGTTGCTAAAATCTGCTAAAATAATCTAATGATTTTTAGTTATCCAAATTCAGAGTTTCTGCTTTGGGGCTCTGAGAGGAGAATGAGAACACTTGCTTTCGTTAATCTGTCTGCCCTTTATTCATAGTAGGGTAGTCTCTTGAAAATCAAAGATATCACTCTATGCTCTAAGTGCTGAACTGGTGAGATAGATGTCATAGTGAGAAGATAACAAATATAAGTGTGAAAGCTTTTATGGAGACACAAAATTGTCTTTTCCTTAAATGAGAGGCTGGTCTTATGTTAATGTGCACTCCTGTCATGTATTATCCTTATAATGATTGAAAGAACATGGCTTCCAGGTCTTCACTGCCAATTCTACTTCCTTCATTCTTAGAAACATTTCTCTTACTAGAAGTGACACTTTTTTTTTTCAGTATGATATTTCTAGGTTTAAAAAGGTTATAAGAAGCCATTAAAATTTAGGGGTTTTGTTCCTACTTGTCATTCTAATTTATATTTCTAAACATTTGTATCATTTTGAGTAAGTTCTAATCCTATGTAATGGTGTAATTATCACCAGCAACTTAAATGTAATATTGATCTTATACTAATACATAATTCTAAATATATTAATTTGAGCAATGTATATTTAGATTTATATTGAGTAATAAGGTTTTATGAAGTCATAAATCTATAACTATATAGTTTCTTGCCATTCTTGAATTTCATAGTAATGAGGATCAAAGTTTTCTTCTGGCCCTTCTTGTTCTTGACTCACATAAGTGTTGTCATGATTATCATGATCCTCCTCCTCCTCCTCATCATCATCTTGAAATCTCCCAAAAACTTGGGTCTTCAATTGTATTGTTTGACCATTAGTGCTTCTTTGTTCACCATAATAAATACTGTGTATATGAGGGAAACAGAAGAAGATATATGAACTAATTGGCTCTCTTAGCTTATTTTGGTCCACACGAAGGTATGTTAAATGATGCTGCTGTAGTGGGTCAACAAAGGGACACATCATTGTCACATTGACATCTGAAAAATACAAATTAAAAGTTAATCCTGCCTTATAGCCGTAATTCTATGTTGGGTTTTATGTTATATGGAATACAGTTTTATTATAACACTTACAGGTAGAATTAGGTTTAATTTTTAATGCTAATCAAATAATAATATGAAGGAAATGAGATTATAAGTTTTATATTACTCAAATTAATATGATTTCACTGGCTTTTCTGATTACTTAAGTAATTTTTTTTTTTTTGGTACTGGGGATCTAACTCAGGACCTTGTGCTTGTGAACTAGGCGTCTGTACCCCTGATCTAAATCTCTGGCCCTAAGTAATATATTCTTGATAGAAACAAGCTAAAATAAAATAAAAATAAAAGTCATCCACAGTCCCACTACTGAGGATATTCATATTCACATATTCTATAGTACTATTTCTCAATATTCAAGATGATAACTTAATTAAAAAGTCTATAAAACTAATGGCATACTATTTTGTGGGACCAATTTCTGCCATTTCCTCAGCGAACTTCAAAACAGCCCTTTTCAGCCATATGTAAAGCATAAATTGTTAAAGATTTGTTCTTATAGAGTCAATATGAGATTCTTTCGCTCTGTAAAAAAAAAATAATAAAATTTTACGTACTTTCTATTTCATTATTTTCTAGGTATAGGTGTTCCAAATTTCTTGGAATGTAGAATGCTTGCTTCAATTTGTTATGTCCAACATTGAGCTCTATAAGGCTGGAAAGATTAAAAATATTATATGGAATGTCTTGCAGTTTGTTGTGTGACATTCTTAGAGCATGAAGTTTTGGAAGTTTGTCAAAGTAATTCTCTGGTATAGAAGAAATAGAATTGTTTTCTAAAGATAGATACATAAGTAAAGAAGGCAGTCCAGGAGGCATTGATTCCAATCTATTATTACATAGGTTGAGCTGCATCAATTTTTCCATTTTGGCAAGGTGTTTTTCTTTTAACATAGAATCATGAAGATGATTATAACAGAGATCAAGCATGGTCAAGTTTACTAGGCCATCCATGGCATTTGTCTGCAGTATGGAAATTTCATTGTAACTAAGAAAAAGTCTTTCCAGAGATTTAGGAAGAGGAAATGGAAATTCTTCTAAATTGTTATGCTCAAGGTGAAGTTGTAGTAGATTTGAAAACTTAGCAAACACACCATAGTCAATTTTTTTTGATTTAATTTTGTTGTGACTGAGGTTAATTTCTTTAAGATTAGTTGCATTGGTGAATGAACTTGCTGTCACAGCCTCAATTTCATTGAACTGAAGGTAGAGTTGCTGAATATGCATTGGAATATTTGGGATTGTCTTGAGTTTGCGATTGTCACAGTACATTGATGATGGAAAGTTAGTTGGACAGAAGCATTCACTGGCACAGCTTAAAATATGATGATAAGGAATTCCATATTCTACATTTGGATGAAATTGGAATTCTGGTTCATAATCTTCACCTGGCTCTGGGTCATAATCTTCATCCCATTGATAAATTTGATGTTGGCAATATACTTTGACTCCAAAGAAGAAGAAAAGGACATATACTGTACTTAAAAAGCTCATTTCTTTTTTTGTCCTATTGCAAGGAGAAAAGGAAATATATTGTTGGATATCTGAATAAAACTCAGAAAAATTGTCATATAAATTGATAGTTATATGAAATGTATTATATCTACATCTATATATAAGAGAATAAGAAGAATGAGTAATGCTCAAACCAAAATTAATGTTTCAGTACCAAGTAGAATTTTATTTTTAAATCACATACTATATTGAACCAGAGTTGGAAGTCTGGTATTCTAGACTTTTTACTAAGTTCCTTTTATGTTCTTTTACTAAGTTTCCAGTTGTCCTGTTTATTAGAGTATAGATTTATGATGATAGCATGACATCATTCAACTACAGTCCGGTGCTTCCTCCACTCTAAATGTTGTGTGTTCTCGCCAACTAGTCCATCCTTTAGGGAAGATTACTGCCTGTAGAAAGACAGACTTTTATTTTAGTTGGAGAGCTGTTGCCTTTTAGAGTCTTGATATTAAACCAAAATCCTCTTCCCTACAATTTCTATTGTTGGTACCCTTTTCTGCCTGTGAAAGAACATGAAATACTACCTTCTATGTGATAACTTGAGATATTTTAAAATAGGTACGTTTCGTCTTCGTATTTTTTGTCCAACCTATCTACACTTTTAAATTTTCCTCATGAAAGTTTCCAGAATTTATTTTGTTTCAAACTTTGCTTGAATAACTTCTTCAAATTTCAAGGCACACAATATATGCATCCTACAAATTTTAGTTTCTAACAGATTGACATTTACATTTTTCGTCCTTTCTTTTTCCTGCTAATATTTTTGAGTTAAGGTTTAGATATACAAATTCTAAAAACACGCAGTCTCCTAGGAGCTTAAAGTCTAGTGAAAGCAGAGAGACATACAGTGCAGTACAGCAGCAGGATATTATATAAGTACCGTGCACTAACCAATTGCACTGCTGGAGCTGCTACAGCAGCAGGACATTATATGGAGTAGGATTATAAGAGGGAAGGCTTCACAGACATTTAACAGCTGCTTGTGCAAAACTTGGAGTTAAAGAGAAAGAGAAAGATGTATTAGATTCTTAATGAGAAGCCTGAAAACATATATTTCATTCTGTTATTTAACACAGCTATCTCATCAATAAAATAAGAATTGCAATTATTGGGCACAGTAGCACATGCCTTTAAACTCAGCTACTTGAAAGATTGAGGTAGGAGGATCACTTGAACCTAGAAGTGGACTGGACAACAAAGTGAGAATCCTGTCTCAAAAAAATAAATAAAATGAGATTTACAATTAGAGTTGAATTATGCCTTGCCTGCTTATCTTGTATTTTACCTTTTATTTTATATCTTCTCACTTATCTTACCTAGTAGTTGTTAGGATTGTATGAGATATGCATGTAAAAGTACTTTGTGAATGGAAAACTTCTATCCAAATGGAATTCATATATTTATGAGGGGGGATTAAGGAAAAAATCATATTCCCTTTTTTCTGAGACCTTTTTTCTCTACCCTTATCATCCAGGGTTCACTAAGGAATAAATGTCCTAATGCAATATTGTATGTAATGAATGGTTTGTTGCCTATTCATCTAGAATGGCACTCTCTCCCCCTCACCCCATCCTTTGTGCTATTTTTTGTCACTGGTGTACCTATTTTTAGTGACTGATATATTGAGAAAATAGTTAAATTATTTTCTCTGATAGAACCCTATTTGAGAAACATCTGGGTTTTCATTTCTTGTCAGAAACAAAAAATGCATAGAATATAAATATAATGTATATTTAGAATTTTAAGGAGTTATTCAAATAGAGTGAAAGACCTTTGATTCCCTTTTCTTCCATTATCTTGTCCTCTATTCTTCCCACATACCCATATCCGGGGCTTGGTTTCACCAATTCAGCAATCATTCATACTTTTAATTTTGAGAATCGGACACTCACCATTATCTTCATACGCTAACTCCAACTGCAATAATTTTTCAGTTTCAGTCACACCTAAACTATATTAATCCTACTTTTTTCTTTTTCACTGTTCCTTATCCATACTTCCCAATACCATTTTTACCAACTTAGCTCTCACAGTTTATGCTATTATCACTCCTAGTTCCCTAAATGCTCAAGCACCTTATATCTGACAAGCTGCAACCTTTCTTATTCTAAATCCTCACATGCTCTCATTCTAACTCACACAGCTGAATATGAATAGAGAAAAACAGGACCAAGCTGACCAGTCTCATTCTCAATTCTCAAAACAAACTCAAGTGGTGCATGGCTGTTTTTCCTTAGTTTGTTCTCATTTTTTCTGCCTTCTAGACTATTCTTTTTCTTTTCTTCTCTCAGCTCTCTAAATCCTTATTCCTATTATTGTTTATGGATGATGACCTTGCTTCCTTTTTTTAATCAAGAAAATAGGATGAAATACTCCAACATACTTATCCTTAGCTATAAGAAAATTCCAAAATAGTAATGATTTGATCTCCTGAATACTACATGATTTTGGGACTCATGAATTTTCTTTTTGCAAATCTGAGTATATTATACCTATTTTTCTTTCTTTTCCATATGATTCATAGAGGTCATAGTATTTGATTTAGACTTTGGAGGAATGTTAGAGTTCTCATAGAACAAAGTGAAGATTATTTCCAAGTAGATGATATAAATAACAACAAGGAAGCCACAGACTGTGAAGTGTTTGAGAAATGGTGATTAATTGTTGAAAGGAGCAAAATAAAGACTAATAAAACCAAAATCTAGAGGCCTAAATTGTGACCAAAAGGCTTGAATGAATGCTTAATTTAATGAATGACTATATTTGAGCCATGATCTTCACACTGGAGTGTTCATGGGTAAAGTAGAAGAGAATTTTGAGAAACAGTGGAGAGAATGAGTTGTCATTTCATCTCAAAGGGCAGTGTTCAGAGCAAGCCCGCTCTCTGTGCTATGTTGGAAGTTCCCCTTGTGTCTGCTTGGACTTTCTGTCATTTACCTGCTATAATTACTCTAGTAGGTACTATATGGGATGTGCTTAGTAAAGCACCTTACAAATATTAGTAACTTGGGTTACTTCTGTTTGCAGTTGTCTTGAATTATTTCTGAGGTACTCTGCTAAATTGATAGAGAACACAGAAATGAAGAGGACATGAAGACATGGTCTATGAAGAACAGTTGAGTGGATGAGAAAGACATCGTAAGAACCCCTAATTATGCCAGAGAGGAATATGGTTTATAGCAGAGACAGGCTGTGCAGTGGAGCCCAGTGGCTTGACCCTGCTTAGGATTGACTTGGAGTTCTTTTTTAGACATAATTTGATCTAAACTTTGGGAGGTGAGGCGAAGTAAGTGTAGAAAATCCTATACAGCTTACTCACTTGATATCTTTAATATGTAATTTTATAGGATTTTATTGTAATTATTATAGTATAGCACATGAACTTTTTAAAACACTTGGCATACTCATTTCACTTCCATTAGAGACACTGGAGTTGGGTGCTATCAGGCTTCTTCCCAAAAGACACAGGTTGCAGCTGAGAGATGGAGATGTGCCCCAGGACTGGGGCAGGCCACTGAGGCTGACTGTCACACAGATAATCTTTGAAAACAGCATTGCTCTTGAACACTCAGTCTGAATGTTTTTATCCTTGTGTCTAGAACATGAGCAATCATTATGAGACATTGTTGAGACAAAAAGGATATTGAGATGATAACTTTGATCCTTACAGTAATTATATATATATATTATATACTAAATATATATATATGTATATTTTTCCAGTACCAAGGATCAAACTGAGGACATTGCGCTTACAAGGCAGGAGCAGTGCCACTGAGCTAAATCCCTGGTCCTTACATATTTTTTACTTAGAATAAAAACTTCATAACTAGGTCCTCTCTGAAAATAAATGGATTTTTCGTGTTGCCTGCCTTTGGCCTTCATGAACACCTAAGAAGAAAGGCTTTCCTTAAATGACACACAACCTTAAATATCACATGGTTTCTCTTATATAAGAAACCCAAAAGATAAAGAGCAAAATAAAAGATAGATACTAAGAAGTAGGGAGATGGATCTTTCTCAAATGGAAAGCAGATCAAGAGAGGGAGGGAGGGGGAGGGGAGAGGGGTTAAAAAAAGGAATAAAGATATGTTATGTACATGCACCAACTCCACACAAGAAATTTAAACATGTACTGCAAACTTGCACTAATAGAAATAAAAATTTTAAAAGAGAAGAAAAGCTTTCCCTGAAGACCAATTTCTTTTCTAAATTTGAATTCATTTTAAACATTCCTTCCATGTCTGTAACCCCCTGTAGTGCCACCTTATCCTCACTTTTGACTAAGTGCAGTTTTCTGGTCTGAAATCCATCTTATTTCCATTCATTTGCCTGATTACTATTCTCTTCCCTCTTCCCCTTTGATAATTTTCCCTGAAACCGTGATCTTCTTTTTATCCAAATAATTTCTTCTCAGCCATTTGCTAGCATAGTTTTGTTACTTCTGTTTTTCATATTCTGCAATCTATGTCTAAGTCCCCATTGGATAACTTAGATCAAAACAGCATGACTCACTGTCAGTCATTTCCTGATCTCTGATTTTTAACAGAATAAAGGACAGTACACACTAAGTGCGGAAAGAGTTATAAATGATTGAATTAATAAGTTACAGATTATATCTTGTCACCAGTTGCTTTTCTCTACAATTTTAATTATGTCTAGACATTTATTTCACCATGGTAATTTATTTAAATAAACATAGAGAATTTGGTTATTCTCTTTTCTATGGAATATTCCTCTACAACCATATACTATATTCTTCATTTTCCTATTATATTATCTACTAGGAAAGCAACAAATGTGAAAAAAGAAAATTTAAAGTAAAATAAAATATATATCACCAGTTTAAAAAAATTATCCACCAATGTGAATTTTTCAGATTATATCATACAATTAAAGTTTCTATGTTTTAACATTTCCATTACTTGGAGAAAAACACTCATACTTTCAAGACAGATTCTAATGGAAATTATTAATAAAAATAAGATAAATTAGTTCTGGGATATTTATAAAGTAAAAGTTTTATAACATTTTAAGGATGTAATTGTTTTATTGATATGCTATAGAAACTAGTTTGTAAGAAACAAAGTATTAGTATATGCTGTAGTTTTTATCCAAAACAATTTTCAATTTAACTCTGTAAGTTCTGTTGCTATTAAAAATATAAATGTCTACTTTATTTTTATCTATAATATATTTACATTTTATTTAACTTAAACCCAAGTAGCTAGATCCTTCAACAGACTGGTTTAAGCGTTCATATCTTACTTTTGAGAAAGGTGTAAATGAAAACAAAAACATTCTATACCAGGGATTTAGTCAACAGAAATTTTGAGAAGCTTTTGAGTGAAATTTGTACAAGTTTCTGTCTTCCGTACAGCTAGACTCATAGCACTATTCAAATTAGTGAGAAAGATAGAGATACAGAAAAGAAAGATCAATTCTGAAACCTGAAAATCTTTCCCTTCATTCAAAACATAAAAACAAACCAAAAAAAACCCCTAAACTAAAAATTTTTGTTGGGAAATTTTAAGTTACAAATTTAAATGTTCTTTAAAAATTGAAATTATGTTATCATACCTGTTAAATTTGCTTTAGTTTTCAGGGGTTGATGAATTTGAAAATCCTTTAAATGAATCAGAAATTCCTAAATTCTTTAACTGACTCTATTCTTAAAGATCCACAGTAACTCTGTGTCCAGACAGGGCTGTCCCTCGAATTACTGTAGGGATTTAAGCAAATACAACCTGCTTGGAAAACACTTGGGTTGAATTTAAATTATGTATTTCTTTTCATTATACAAAACTTGGTGGATTCAAATTAAAATGTTTGTGTTCCTGGTCAGATTTATGTGGCTTACTTCTTTCTTTCCCCTTTAATTTTGGTTTGAGGTGTGGCAAGAATTTCCTTTAATATGAAAGGCAAACTGAACCAAAGGAAACAGCATGTACTGATTACTGTTTTTATTTTCATTTTCATGCCAAAGAATTCTTCAAATTAAAGTCTACTGTCACTTTGAGCCCAGTGTCTCAGCAATTTAAGGTGGAACTCAGAATTATCTTCAGTCCTTGGTTGTTCATCACCTTTTGTTCACATCAGGTTCCCTTTGTTAAAGCAGGGAATCAGAATTAGAAACATAAAGCATTTTGCATCTAATTTTTTAAAAATGCAATAGGTTATCTCATTGGTTTCACAGATTAAAGATACTTTTCCATAAACAGACTTATTCCTTCTCTTCTGTCATCTGTTCCCTTTCTCACTTTATTCTTAGATGTTTACTAAGTATCATTAAAGTCAAAAAGACTACCTCTGCTGTGAACATTAATATCTTCCACTCTAAAAGTCTACCTCCAATTTGCCTGTTTTAGTAGTACACAAAATAATTTTATAGTATTGAATAAGATGGTTTGCACAATAACTATTACCTTTATTTTGTAGATTTGGAAAATTTCGTTTTACTGAGCTATCTCTTCTTAAATAACAGCTATCTAACTTGCTTAAATGCTAAATTTTTGTGCTCATGTTTTCATATTTAAACAGTTTATTTGTGTCTCTTGGCAGTAGATATTGCATTCATTTTTGGAGAGCTTCTTTCAAGCTTGAGCAAATAAGGTAAAATAAATCCTGGAGTTCAATTTTGGTTCTTCAAATAGTGCTTTCCATTAAGACTTTACAAAGGAACTCAAAAGATTTATTTTGTTATACTTCATATTTAAGAAAAGTATATAGTGTTTCAAGTGATGGTTTGGCAATATCGTAAAAATCCAGTCTATCATTTGAGACATTGGTATGTAAAATGTGGCAGACACATTTTAGCCAAGATTCCATTTTGTTACTGATCTTTTCCATATGTTTTCTATTAGTGTCTTTGTTCTTAAACTTCAAGCTTCCACACTAAGGGAACAAATCTGTGTTCTTTTCCCAAAAATTGCTGTATATTCCTTCACATTTCTCTTAGAAGATTAATGTAAAATCAACCACTTAATGTTTATGTGGTTCTTCATTAACTGTGTGATTTGAACTTATGTTAGTAATTATATTGTTCATGTTTCCAACAAATATGAAAAAGAGGTTTAAGTTGGCACTGATGTTGGGGATGGGGGAGTAGTGGTTAAAGTCAGACTTTCAAGCAAAATAGCAACTGTTAGTGATAGTTCATGATCACTTAATTAAGTAGGTTTTTGTGTTGTTGTTCTACTTTTTAGATACTGAAGATTGAACTCAGGACCTAGCACATGCTAGGCAAGTAGGTTTTCTACCACTGAGCTATATCTTCAGGCTCCCTCCACTTTAAAAAAATTTTTTTTTTGGTACCGGGGATTGAACTCAGGACCTTGTGCTTACGAGGCAGGCAGCAGCTCCTCTTTTTAAATTTTAAGATGGGGTCTCACTCTGACTCCCAAGTAGCTGGATACAGGTATGATTTTAAATTTTTTTGTTTCTATTTTTGTTTTGTTTTTTGATACCGGGGATCAAACTCGGGTCCTTGTGCCTTCGAGGCAGGCGGCGGAACCACTGAGCTAAATCCACGGCCTACAGGTATGATTTTAATTCTAGCAACTGGGTAGAAAATTCAGTTGAATTGGTGAAAAGACTATGATTAATAGATACAGTATCTCAAAGCTTCGTGACATAGTGCTGGCTAAGAAAGGCCCTCCTGAGGCCTTCTTAATTAATGTGGTAAGTGTAACAAGTTTTTATTCATTTGTTCACTCATTCAGCTTTTTTATTAAGTACCTGCTTTGTACAAGGCATTTTTAGATGCTGGGGACTCAGCAGTAAAAATCTTGTTGTCCTAGAGAAGGAAAATGTAAAATAAACATTTATCAAATGGCGCAGAGTATAAGGGACAGCCAAGATAGAGAAATAAAAATGAATGAGATAGAGGGATTAGCAGTTCTTTTACTGCTGTGTGACCTGGAAAGGAACAATTAAAGTTACTGTATAGCAGATGGTAGGAGCCTGATATCTCACTCATGAGGAGGAAAGTTACAGATAAGCAAGGGCGGGCAGGTGGTGGTACTGGTCCATGTGGTGATGGATTTGAGTTGAATGGCCAGTATGACCAGTAACCAATCTGGCCATTCTACCTCCCTTCCATTTTCTGTGCTTTTCAGTACTTCACTTTCTCTGCCTATACATACAATCTGCCTTGTATTTTGGTAGCATATTCTGTACAATTTTCAGTCCAGATTGCTGCTCAACTCTAGAATCACAAATGAAGCCAGTTAAGAGCTTTAAAACTACATGTATTGTAATTTTCTCTTTGTACAAGCAAAAGAATCTAGTATGTATAATTTCATTTATTTAGATTTGAAGAATAGGGCTAGGGATTTAGCTCAGTGGTGCCACGCCTGCCTCGCAAGTGCAAGGTCCTGAGTTTGATCCCCGGTACCTAAATAAATGAAGTTGAAGAATAGGCACAACTCATTGATGGCAGTGGATGCTATAAAATAAGTGTCCTTAGGTCTGGGATAGTGAGTGTGGATGGGGAAGAGGTGTGGAAGAGCCTTTTGGAGTGACAGATTAGAGATGTTAATCTGCTTTGAATAACGGTGCTGTGACAACTGGATATCCAAGTCATGCCATTTGGGAAACTCCAGATGAAACAAAACCTAAGTATAAGAGCTGAAGCATAAATATTCACAAGCTTGAATTAGGCAGCAATTTCATAGATGTGACACCAAAAATATAAGCAACAAAAGAAAAAATAAATATATTAGAAGTCATCAACATCAAAACTTTTCATGTATCGAAGAACATTATCAAGAAAGTAAAAGGGCAGGGATTTAGCTCAGTGGCACTGTGCCTGCCTTGCAAGTGAAAGGTCTGGAGTTCGATCCCGGTGCCGAAAAAAAGAAAGTAAAAAACCAAGCCACAGAATGGGAGAATTTTGCAAATCATATGTCTAATAACGGAATTGTATTCAGTATTTTTACAACTCAATAATTTTTTTAAAAACTTCAATTTGAAAATGGGTAAAAATCCAAACAGACATTTCTACAAAGAAATGACCAAAAGAGATACTTCAAAGAACTAGGACTGGAAGTCCCATTTTACCCAGCTATTCCCCTGCTGGGTATCTTCCCCAAAGAATTAAAAGAATCATACCACAGTGATATATGTGCACCCATGTTCATAGCAGCACAATTCGTGATAGCTAAAACTTGGAAGCAATCCAATTGCCCATAAACTGGAGACTGGATAAAGAAGATGTGGTAGGACCTAGGGATTTAGCGCAGTGGTTCCACTGCCTGCCTTGCAAGCCCAAGGTCCCGAGTTCGATCCCCAGTACCAAAAAAAAAAAGAAAAAAAAGATGTGGTGTTTTTTTAAAAAATAAAATGGAGTGTTACTCAGCCATAAAGAATGAGAAACTAGAGACATTTAAAGCTAAATGGATGCACATTGAAACGATACTCTTAAGTGAAATAAATAGGACACACGTGTAAATACCGAATAGTTTCTCTGGTATGAGAAACTGAAAGTGTAAATAAGGACTAAAAGGTATAATAGATAATGTGAAATAGGAAGAAAAGGGGCAAAGGGGAAGGGGAAGTGGGAGGGGTAGGAGAAAAGAAAGAAGGAAATGGAATTAATATGAGAAAAAGAAAAAAATGGGAACAAACTCTTTGTAAATAGGGACGGATGGAGGGGTTGAAAGGAGGGCAGGGGAATGGGGAAAAAATAAGAACCAAGAGAGATTATGTTTTGTTTTGTTTTTATTTTTTGGTACTGGGGATCGAACTTGGGACCTTGCATTTTCGAAACAGGTGGCGGCACCACTGAGCTAAATCCCTGGCCCCAAGATGGATTATGTAAAGGTGCAAATTTCCAATGATGAATGTCATTATATTGTATACCTTAAATGTACCAATAAAATTAATTTTTAAAAAATTTAAATTAAATTTAAAAAAAGAAATGACCAAAAGAGAAAGCCTTACTGGTAGTCAGGGAAATGCAAATGAAAACCACAATGAAGTACCAGTTCACTCTCTCCAGGATGGCCATAAAAAACAAACAAAAAATAAAATGACAGGCTAGGAATGTAGCTCAGTGGTAGAACAGGTACTTAGCATGATCTCCAGCACCTCAAGAAGATGGGGGGAGGCTGGACAATAATAAGTAATGGTTAAGAATTGGGAGAAATTGGAATCCATATACAGTAAATTGCTCATTAGATTGTAAAATGGTGCAGGTACTAAGGAAGACAGACTAGTACCTTCTGAAATGAATAGTAACCATTTGATTCTGCATTTGCACTTCTAGATATATACCTAAAAGAATTGAAAACATGGATCCACTTATAAGTGTGTACACAAGTAATCATAGCAACATTATTCATAACATCCCAAAACTAGAAACAACTGAAGTATCCATCAACTAACATAAATAAATGTGTTATATCCTTTCAGTGAAATATCATATAGCAATAGAAAGCACTGAACTGCTGGCATGCTACAAGGATGAGCCTTGAAAACATGCTAAGTGGGAGAAGCCAGTCACTCAAAACCACATATTATAATTCTATTCATGTGAAATGTCCAGAATAGGGAAATCTAGGGAATAGGGAAGTAGATTTGCTAGGAAGTAAATGGGGAGGGACTTTTCGTGGGTATGTGCTTTATTTTTGTGGTGATGAATATGTTCTAAAATTGATGATAATATGTTTGTAGAACTTTGAAAGTACTAAAGACGATTGAATTGTATACTTTAGGTGGTTGTATTACATAGTATGTGAAACGTATCTCAATAAAACTTATTAAAAATAGCAATAGAATAAAGTGTGGTGA